GCGGCAGGCTCTGTGCTATGAACTCCATATTCATCATCTTGTGTTATCCTCAACACCCCTATTTGATTACCCCACTGTCCTGGTGTTCGCTGTTGGTGATAACAGCTAAACATCATAGAGCACTTACTGTGTGCTGCAGTGTGTTAAGTGCTGGCTGTGGATTACAGAAGGGGCAGCTGGGAGGGTGGCTCTGGGGCCCAGATTCAGATCCCACCTGGACACTCACCAGCTGGCACTCTTGAGCAAGTTACATCTTTGTGCCACAGTTTTCCCTTTTGAGTTGGGGGCGGTATTAGTATACCTGTGCTGTGGGGTTTTGTCAGGATTAAATGAATTATCTCATGCAAAGATTAATACAGTGCCCAGTGTATAGATGCACTTGGTAAATGCAAGCCACGATGATGATATTGACCATCATGATGAAGATGGAGATGGGCCCATCAGGCAACTGGATCAATGAACATGTTAGCATAGAACACCCACGGCTAAGCCCAGGATAAGCCCATCGAACACTTGGTAATGCTGTGCCCTTGGGCATGTTGCTAAGCCTGAACTTTCTCATCTGTAAAATGAATGGTGGTGAGATTAAATGATAAAATACATGTGAAAGCGGTTATAATGGTGCTTGGCACAAGTAAGTGCTTAATAAACGTTAAATGTTATAGGTATAACAGAATCAAAATGGTGAATTAACCCAAGGAAATGCCACCTGCTAATGCTCTTGGCAGGCAGACTCGCTTGCTGCCACCTCTCCCTGACCTTGGTCAGATTTCTGCTCTCATTCAACTAGTGTTTACCAAGCAGCCATTATGTGCCAGGGAAAATGTGACAGGGATGGTGGGTAGACGTCATCATGGATAGAACAGAATAGAACTGATTTGCCATTCCTATACTCTGTCAGAATGTAGTCTCTGCCTAGTGTGGCATGTCTGTCCCCTGGAAAGCGAATGCAGCGAGTATGCAGAGATCCTTTAAGCTGCAGGCATTGAACAAAGATGATTCTGCAGTGTTAGAGAAAAAGGCCAGAAACCTGTCCCATCCTCATGGACGTGGCAAGTCCCAGCAGAGTGAAACTGTCCAGGCATCCCACCTCTGATGCTTCAGCCATTCCAGAATGTTGGCCACACCACTGCCCCTGAGTCCCCCAAACATGCTATGATGCTTCATGCCTTTATACCCATTAGTCTTCAAGCACTAATCTCAACTAGCACCTCTCTTCTGAGGTCTCCCTTGGCCAGCCACGTCAGGTCACCTGCTCATTGGTCTGAGCTCCTGTATTTTTTAATCTCTTTTCTGTATTGATAATAATGGCAGCATCAGCAGCAGCACATACAGTTGGACTGCCTGCTAGAGTGTAACCTCACGAGGGCAGGAATCTTGCCTGTTCCGTTCACTGTGACAGCCCCAGTGCCTAGAACAGCACCTGGCACGGCAGACACGCCACGTATACTGGTGGAATGAAGACCATTCCAGGCACTGCTAGGTGCTTTCCAAATACTATTACATCGAATCTTCCCAGGGCCTTATGAGGGAAGAAAGAGTATGGTCCCCATCTCACAGAAAAAGAAAAAAGTTAAAGAGGTTAAGCATCTTTCCGAAGGTCAAGTAAATGAGGGGTAAGAAGTACTCGGCACTGAAATGAAGGTCCAAATGACCCAGGGACATCCCCGTCAGCTACAATGCAGCACACTGCTCGGCCCATAGTAGATTACATGCTCACTAAACGTTTTTTTAATGAATGAATATGAGTATCTAGTTTCCCATTACAGCAAGAGAAAAAACTGAGATGGTTACATGAAATTACCCAGGATGTATTGGAGGTGGCAGAGAGTTTGCAACAGTAAGGGCTGGGGATGGTGGCCTGGCAAAGAAGTCCAAAACTGAGTGCTGTGAATAGGCCAAGGGACAGAAAATTAACTTCTGTTGAGCACCTCCAATCACCTGCTTAGAGGCTATGATTAGCCGCTTTATGAAATGAGAAAACAGAGGATGGGCAAGACGAAGTAAGCTGCCTCAAGGCACGTATGTGGCAAGTGTTGCAGAACCTGGATTCGTGCGCAGGTCTGCGTGGCTTCTGCTGTGCCCTGTTGAATTTTACCTGACATTTCTAAAATCAAGAGTGAAAGGTGCACATGTACAAGCTCATTCTTTAGAAGAAATAGGTAAAGGGGTGGGAGAGAGATTTTAGATTTTAGGACTCTTGCAGCTGTGTCCATGCATGTAACTGATTTCATTATTTTCCAATTGATCTGTTTGTTTTTGCTGTAATATTAGTTGGTTGCTAAGCAACTGCCCTAAGAGGTCTGATGCTGAACTTTTTTTGGTAACCAAGTAGAACCCCAAAAAGGGTGACATGAGTAAGTGCTTGGGGGTGCAATCAGAGGGATTTGGGAGTTTGAGAGTGATCTGGCCCCTTCCACAGAATGAACCGGCTGATGTACAGGGAAGGCCACCTTCCCCTTGTGACAGTAATACTGAACCTCTCTGGGGCCTCAGTTTGGTCACCTGTAACAATACTGACCTCACAGAGAAGAGGTAATGTACACAAAGCAGCTGGCAGAGTTTCTGACACATGGTGAGGGCTCCATAAATTGTAACTACCATCAATTTTTAATATTAGTATTTTAACAGAGCTTGGGTACGGCATTTTCCTGGATATCACTGCTGAAGAAGTCAGTCTCTAGGAGGGTCTGCTGGCCTTGCTGGGCTCCACAGCTACTGTGTCAAACAGTACCCTTAACCTCATCCCAAGCCAATGATAATAATGCTGCCCACAAGGTACATCCACTGATCGTGTTTGGATCAGAAACAAATCCATCCCACTTTCCCTAAGCTGATGGCACGTCAATATGGTTATCGTCAGATGAAAAGGACAGTGCGTACTTATTTGGAGCTTCTGATAAAATCACATCCCTTACTGGTTTTCAAAATTCTGGTGCTTAGGAATTATCTAGGTCAGAGGTTACAAACTGGTGGTCTGGGGTGGGGGTGGCAGTTCCATGAAGTCTAAGACATGTATGATCTGGCTCGACAGCATTTACAACATTTTTTAAAGTTAGTTGCCAACATTAAAAAAAGTAAAACATCTTATAAGAAAATCCAGATTCCCAGTTTCTCTTGAAAAATATGAAGAGCTAGCCCTGTCCCCATAGAGCAATAATTGCACAAGTGGAGTGGAGAGACACTGTCTCCTTGTGATGGGGCCACTTCACTTGCAACAAGGTGTTGCAGTAAAAGCCCCTCAGGTGCTTCTGGGGAAGAGCCCCAGAAGGGTGGAGGGTGGGCAGGGGTCCAGTCCTGAAGCCTCTCTTTCTGGGTCGAGGGTGGCCCTCAACTCCACCACATCTGTTCCTTTGGGAGCCTGTCATCCCCCAAGCTTCTAAAGTTTCAGAATCTACAGGAATCAGGGGCTGAAAGCCCCATCTAGCCACATGGGGGCGCCCTCACTCCACACACTGGAATTCCTTGACCCCGCTGGAGCTGGAGCAAAACTCCCTTTCTGGAGCCTAGAGGGTCAGCACAGCCCTGGCCATCCTGCATGCCTTAGGGTTATGCAACCCAGGGGTCGCTCATCCTACTGTTCTGAACAGAGAGAGGCTGCTAGGAGCTCCTCCTGGCACACAGGGGAGGGATTACTGCTATGAAACCACAAGATGCCCCTGGAAGGAAATCCAGTTTGGATGCTGGACAAAGACATGGGCTGCCTAGGAATTATTTAGAGAGAGGAAGGCAAGGAGGGTGCTTACATTAAGAACATGCTCTGCTTTCAAAAGCATATTGGAAGCTCTTTTGAGAAAAGAGAGCAGGAGAGAGAGGGAGAAAGAGAGAGACAGAGAGACAGATAGAGAAGACAGACAGACCCTGGTGCACGCGCCCTGGACCTGAGCAGGGTATCTTGCTTCTCTGAGCTTGCTCTCCCTCACTGTAGAGTGAAGGCAGCCACACCCGCCTTTTGTGCTTGATGTGAGAATCCACAGGATAAGATGTGCAAACCACGCTCATGGTGCCTGCATCCAGGCAAGTGCTCACTTGACAGAGATAATTCACGCTGACGAGTAACAGTAAGTACAAAACTTTTTTTAAAATGTTGGACATACACCTTGTGACTTTCGTTTCCTCATGTGTAAAATGAGACCTCTGGGCCATGTGTATTCTCCAGTCCTTTTCGGTTCACATTGTTTATGATTCTGTAATAAATGCCATTCCCCACACAGCCACCGAAGCCTTTCAGCAGCTGATGCTTTCTCCAGCCGCTAGATGCCTGCCCCTCTACATGGGGAGGGTGAGAAAGGGACATTGGAGACATGCACAGAGATGGCCATGATGGTGATTAAGCACATGGCTCCGGAGGCAGACTGGCTTTGTTTGACCCCAGCTCCCCTTATCTAGGCGGGTAACCTGGGGTCGGCAGCTTATAGTCTCTTTCCTGAGGTTTCCCGTTGGAAAATGAAGAAAATACTACCACCTATGGCAGGGAGTGTGGGGGAGGGAACGAGACCCCACTTGTCAAGCACCCAGTGCTGGGCATACAGCAAGCACTTCACTAAATGTTAGGCATCATCATCACTCAGATTTGTTTTCAAGAGCAGGCAGTGATCTTTCTAGAATGGGTCCATGAAGGTTGTCTGACACAAAATTGGAAGAGAGACAGGGTGTTCTCATAGATGCTACAGAAAGACCATTAGATGGGGAGACAAAAAGAGACCACATCCTGCCACCAATATTTCATTATGCAAACTTGGGTTTCAGTTTGTTCATCAGGAAAATGAAGATGCTGGACTAACTAATGCCCCTTCCAAACCCGGCAGTCAGGAGCTCTCTCTCTGGGTGGACTTGGGCAGGTCCCTTCCCCTTTCTGGGTCTCAGCTGCCCTGTCTATAAAAGGCAAGTGTTGGATGAGACAATGATCCTCAGGACCTCCTGGCCGTGGCACTGCATGACCCTACGTGCCTTGCAGCCTGAGCAGCTGGGGCGGAGGCCGGGTCCCTGTGGGTCCTTACCTGAGGTACTCATAGAGCCCGTACATGGGCAGGAAGTCGATGTCAGACAGGAACATGTAGGGGGTGCTGACGTGCTTCATGGCCACGTTGCGCAGCAGGTTCACGGGGTAGAACTGACCCTCCTTGTACACGATGTGATAGCCCACGTTGTGGCGGCTCATGAGCACCTCGGAGCCCTGTGCATAGCGGAGGAACTGCTGGGCCTCGGCATCCGACAGGTAGAGGGCCAGGCTGATGGGCCCCTCCCAGTGCTTGCAGATGGCCTCCAGCATCTGGAGCCTGGAAGAGAGGGGACGGTGAGCTGCGGGGACCTGGGCCCATGCACGCACCAGCCACCCGGTCTCCTGTGGGCCTCTTCCTCCATCAACACTTGGTTAACCAGCTGCAAATCTAAATCCCTGCTCTAAACATTTCTCACTCAGTTCCTTTACCTATAAAGTGTGCATAAAAACACTTACCATGCTGGTTCTAGTCTTTCTCTGCTTCCAACTGAACGTGGTATCAAAAGAGCCACATCTCTCTGTAAGCCTCAGACATCTTCTCTTTTCAATGGGGGGAGGAGAAGGGTGGGTGATTATATTAAACAATCCAAAGGGCTCCTTCCAGACCCAAACTCCTACACTTCTCTCTCAGCGGAGGTATGAAACACCTCTACTGAGCTCCTAAAGCAGAGACCAGCCAAAGAAGATTGAGACAAACTGAGACCACTGAGTTACAAGCAACATTAAAACAAGCAGTAAAAACAAGAGTAATGATCACTACGATCACGGTCCCATTACTATGTGCCAGGTGCTTTCCGGACAACAAGCCTGAGCACCAGCTGTTTTTCTCCCCATTTTTCTGAGAAAGGCATTGAGGCTCCAGATGCTGGGTCAGCTTTGATTCTTGGATGTGTAGACCAGCCATGTGTAGACAGGTACCTTAATGGGGACTTGGAGTCTGTGAGAAAAAATAATACTGGGTGTTTGGCAGAGGGGACAGAAGAAACACATGTGAACGCTGGGAACAAAAGTGTACCTGGGGTGGTGCTGTCTTCATCTTACTGCCCTAGGGCCACAGCCAACTTTGCAAGGCCACCTTAGGGGCGCTGAGCCAAGAAAAGGGGGAAAGAACAGACCCCAGAGAAAAAACAAAAGGTGTTTCCAACAGAGAGTGTTCTGCAAAAATGTTTGAAGAGGAATCTATAAAGATATATTTTTTTTTAAAGGCATTAGAAGTGCCTAGTACACAAAATCTATGCTTAAGAAACAGCAAAAGCCTATTTCAATTTTTTCTCTGCCCAGCAAGAGGTACATAATCAGCAGTCTCCTGGTCAGAATGCCCACTTTATTCGGACAATTACCAGGAAATGGATTCCATGCATTTCCATGCTTCTAAACAAAAGAAACTGTGCAGACCTATCCTGTTTTAAGGGCCTTTTCCATGGACTTCCAGTTTTCTCTCAGTAATTCTGAATTGATATTGCCCAGACTTGCTTCCTACTTCAAATATGGAAGATTAAGATATTCACCAGGGTAAAGTGCCCCCCATCTTTCACCCTGAGAATGCTTGCTAATCAAATGGACCAGAGCCATTTTTTTGCAAGAGGTGCTACATTCTCCATGACCCCTGATCTCACAAACTTTGTGTGTGGCGTCTGCTGTAGGACCCTGCTCTCTCCTGAGCTCTGAGGATCTGGGATTTTGAATTATCACCCCGTGCACCTCAGTTTCATCTTCTGCAAAATGGGAGGACTCTGCATTTCAAGGGAGAGCCATTTGTACAAATGCTTTGAGAATCGGATAGCCGAGGACAAGAACAATTTCTAACATGTAGATGCAGGAGCTGCTGGAGGGAGTGGGAGGTTGGAGTTCTGTCTGACAGGGCATGAGGAGAGGCCAACTTCTGCTCTGAGTTCTCCCACTGGTTTGGTTTTGACTCTATGTCTAAATTTTCCAAGAAGGGAGCAAACCTCACCTGGTGCTGCCCTCTTAAGCTCTGCTAGGAGTTCAGAGTGAGAACAGAGACAAATTACTTAAGGTTCTCAGGAGAAAGGTGCTGTTGATGTAAAAAAAAACAAGTTGAGTTTTTGCCAGATGTGGCTCCATAGAACCTCAGCGGCCAAGTGAGAATCGCGATGACACAACCCACATCTGATTCTCTGCCACCAGCCACAACCCCTCCAATCTTTTCTCCCTTACAACCAGCCCTTCTGCCACCACCTGAGCAACAGTGACAAACTGAAGTTTACAATAAGGATGACAATATATGAAATGTGATAATGATATAATAAATCTCTACCATTTACCCGCTGGCTTGCAACGTGCGGGCCACGTGGTGGCTGTTACTGCAATTAATATTCATAGGAACTGAGGTTCTCATCACCATTTTACAGGCAAGGAAGCTCAAGAAGACAAAGTGACTTCTTTCAAGTCACGCGGCTACAAAGTGGTGGAGGTGGAGTCACACCCATGTCTGTCTGACCCCAAAGACCAGGACGCAGATCATTATGCAACATGGACTGATGTTAGGCTGAGAACAATGTCCCAAAATATCTTCCCTCATTGCCTGTTTCCCAACTAAGAGTGTGCCCTTCTGTTGGTGTCAGCTTCTCTCTAATTCCTTCCTCCTCCTCAGTCCCTCTGGGGGTCTGCCTCAAAGATCCACTCTTTGTTGGACCCTCAGGGTGGCCTCTCTCCATGTCTGCTTCCTAAGGACTGTCCCTATGCAGCTCTTGTTGGCGCAAAGCCCTGCACTGAGTCTTTCTTTGGTCTCCTTGACAGGAGGATAGTGTTCCTCGCACAGCAAGGGCTGGGTTAACGGAGAGTATTTCAAGAGACAGAGATTAATTCTAAAACCACAGAATTCTCACACTAGGAAGAATCTTAGAGATATTTTTGTAGTCTATGCCATTTTTATGATGGAAGAGCTAAGCTTCAGAGAGGGGGCAGGACTTGCTCCAGAGCCCAGGGTGTCAATGGAAAAGTTACCAGCAGAACCCAGAAGTCCTGACGCTCTGTCCTCACTTGCTTCCACCTCCCTGTGGCACCCGCCATTGCTTCATGCTGGGGAGGGGAGGGCAAAGGCTCAGGAATGGCCAGAGAGATGTCTGGCAGATCTAGAAACAGGCAGGGGTTACTCCAGGGAGTCCCACTAAGACAGGAAGTCACACGCAGACTCTAGTTGTAAAGGAGTGGGCAGGAAGATGGCCAAGTCAAAAACCTAAGAGAGTAGGGTTGGAAGGGATTCTGGAGCACCAGCGGGCCTATGCAGCCTCAGCTGGACGGGGGAACTGACACCCTTCAAGGCAGCCCATTCTAACCTGGTGCACTGCAGCAAGGCAAGCTGCATGGTACAGCATCGCGGGTTGCAACAGTGGGTTTTGGGGTCAGACAGACCTGAATTTGACTTCTGAGCTTCTTCAGTATACCTGGGCAAGTGACAGTTCTCTGAGCTCCAAAGTCCACATATGTGTATTGGGGATAATGATATCTTTGGTAGATTATGAACGATCTCCAAATCACTTCTCTCTCTCTCTATCCAAACCCTTTGGTAACACTCTCCCACCACTGATTCTGGGCTGGCAATGTGACTTGCTTTGGTCCATGGGACACTAGCAAATATGACACAAGTTAGATTTGTTAAAAAGTGCTTGTGTAGGTGTTAAAAAGTACTTGTGCTCCTTGTTCCTCTTGGAACCTTGTGATTGCCACAATGCAACAAGACTACACCATCTTGACAGATGATAAGCTGCATGCCCCAGGTGTCCCCATCATCCCAGTGGATGGCCAGCCAATCCCCAGAAAAACCACCTGACAACAGACACATTAGCCCAGCCCAACCCAAGCTGCCAATCCACAGAATGTGAGCTCATTGTACGAAGCTGCTCAGACTCAGGAAAGTTTGTTAAGCAGCAACAGGCAACTGATACAACATCTACCTGGATTTGAGTATTAAATGAGATAATCATATAAAGTGCATGGCACAGAGCTAGATATACAGCAGGTACTCAGTATGTGATAGCTGTAATTTCCTCCTCAGGTTCTATTTCTGCCTTTCAAACATGTATTCACCCAACAAAGATTTGCTGAGTGTCTCCAATATGCCAGGCATGCTAGACAGACAAGGTTCCTGCACTTCTGAAGCTCTAGTGGGGGGAGAAGACAAAATACAAATCAACCTAACATAAATTCAGATGGAGCTAAAGGATGGGGAGGCAACAGAAAAGGGAAACAGAATAGAGTAACCATGAGGGCTGGCCAGGGAAGATCCCTTGAAGACCTGGTGCTGTGGTCTGAATGTCTATGATCCCCTAAAATTTGTGCATTAAAATTTTAACTCCCAAGGTGATGGTATTATGAGTGGGTCCTTTGGGAGGTGATTAGGTCATGAGGGTGGGGCCCTCATGAGTAGGATTAATGCCCTTATGATAAAGGCCGTAGGGAGCTCTCTTGCCCCTTCCATCAGGTGAGGACAAAGCTACAAGGTGCCACCTATGAACCAGGTAGTGGGCCCTCATCAGACACTGCATCTGCTGGTGCCTGATCTCAGACTTCTCAGCCTCCAGAATGGTGAGAAATAGATTGCTATTGTTTATAAGCCACCTGGTTTATGACATTTTGTTACAGCAGCTGGAATGGACTAAGACAACTGGATAATGAGAAGCATCTGCCTTTGTGAAAGTCTGGGGGAAGAGCTTTTCAAGAAGACGGAATAGCCCTTGGGGTAAACACGAGTTTAGCACATTTGAGCAAGAAGCAGCAGGATCAGTGTGGATGGGGCGCAGGTAAGTGAGGGCACAGGAGAGACGGAGATGTCAGGGAGGTAGGCAGGTGCCAGGTCAGATGGGGCCTTGAAGGCCATGGTGGGCAGCTCAGATGCCATTCTAACTACAATGAGAAGTCATCTGAGGGTTTTAACAGTGTGACCTGACTTGTATTTTTAAAAGATCACTCTGGCTATTACATGGAGAAAGAACTGCCTTTCATTTTCTAGAACAGCCGATGCTTTCAAACCTAAGCCTGCTAAGGATCACCTGGGGGTTTACTAAAACAGATTCCAGGGCCCTGCCCTAGAGATTCTGGCAAAGACTGTCTGGGGTGGGGCCGGAGAATCTGTTTCTAATAAGCTGCCAGGCGATGTTGCCAGTCCCAGAAGCAGGGTTGGCGTGGCACTGCTCTATCAGATGGGACCTGTCAGCCACCAGCCTCTCCTCCACTTGCAGAAAGCAGAGAGACCCATCAGCTACCTGGTGCCCTGCAACTGTAGTCAGCACTTCAACATCGCTGTCAAAGGGACACTGAAGAACAAGTGTCTCCCTGGCCCGGTGTCTGAGGCGGGGTGCCCGCCCTCCCGGTCAGCCCTCTCTCCTTTCAACATTCCCGTCTTCTGCTAGGATGGGAGGGAGGGATCCTGAGCGGCTAGAAGAGACGCAGAACTGCCGGTTCACTTGTTCTGAATGGAATTCTAGAGGGAGCCGGGCACAGGAGCCCGCAGGCCGGCTGCCTTCATTCATTGTGGCGTTCTCGTAAGGCCTGCTTCGGACTTGAAGGTTTACAAACATGCCCGAAATGTTTCTTAAATTAAAAATCAATCCAGCAGGCACAAGTCAGCGAGCTGCATCATAACTGGATGTGTGGGATGGAGTGGATGTGGCTTCATGAATTTCTAGCGTCCTCATCAGCTCATGGTGCTACTGTATGATTTCTGAGTGTGTCCCGCTAAGCGTCTCTCATCAGGGCTTGGAATTCCTTGGGTTCTCCAAAGGACTGTCCGGATGACAATACCTGTCACAATGTGTCAAGGGTATCGAGTGTCTGCTATGCTTGGGATGTGTGTGCTTTGAAGGGGGGGCCTTTGTGCTCAGTGTCTGTAGCAGACCTGAGTGGGGCTGGGACCTTCTTGTCCATGGGCTGCGAGGGAAGGTCCTTCCGGGGTCATCTGCGACACAGGCTGGGAGGAACTTACTCCTGGCAACAGAAGGAGGGGCTGGGTTTTGCCTCTGTCCTCTCGTTGATAACAAGTGTGTATAGAAGGATGGGTTTGAGTCGTTAATAACTAAAAACATTTTCCTTCTACTTGTTTGTAAATTCCAGACACCAAATTCTGTACACTTTTTATATGCCAGGTACCATGGACACACTGTACAGGTATTTCTCATTCAATCCTTGGAACAATCTCATAGAATCTCACCCACAGACTGGACAGGCATCTCAGAGGTGGCTCAGAAAATAGAATGAGTCAACTGAACTGCCTTCCTAATTGTGAGATCTGACTAGGGATGAAGGGA